GCAATTTATGTCTACCTCTACGTTATGGCCAAGAGGGGATAAAGTTCTCATCTCATATATCCACCTCGTTTCCATTTGAGAGACTTGTCTGAGCTTATTTGTACCTCGCCAATGACTATGAACTACATCGATCCCTGAGAATTTCAAAAAAGTAGGGTCCCGGTTATGGTGGTAACGGAAATGTCTAGAAAGAGGATGTTCTTTCCGGCCCTTTTTGATACAATTAACGTGCTCTCTAAACCTGTCTCTGAGCCTTCTGGTGGTTCGACCAATCTATTGCCGTTTACATGGGCACTCTAAAAGATATACCGCATAACGGCTATGGCAGGTGATCAATGTAGAGATGTCATATGTTTTCTGAGTTACAGTGGAAGTGAAAAATTCTATTTTCTTTTTGCGTGTACCATCTAACTTACATATAACGCACTTGTTACATGGGTAAAAGCCCGTCATATTGCCAAAAAACGTAATTCTAGGGGGAGGGTCTACTACATTTGGTGAGATTTTATCTCGTAAAGTAGGGGCCTTTCTGAAGACTATTTCAGGCCTATCAGGTAATACTCCAGCTAGGATTGGGTCAGCCTTAAGAATGTCCCAGTTTTTCTTAATAATCTTACCGACTTGTTTGTATTGAATAGAAAAAGATGTAATAAAGGGACAAAATTTGCCATTCTTACGTGAGGTAGAGGTGGTTAACATCGTATCTCTATTCATATTTGCCACTCGGGCCATCTCATCATCTAATACCGTAGCATTATACCCTTTCTCAATAAACCTTTCCTTTAGGACAGTGGCCTTCTGATGATAGGTGTCAATGTCTGTACATATTCTCCTTGTCCTCATGAACTGGCCTTTAGGGATATTGGCCAGCCACGAGGGGTGGTGGCAGCTGTCTGTCGGGATGTAATAATGTACAGCGCTGAGCAAACTTTTGGCACTATATAAATACTGTATAATAATAATAATAATAATTTCCTCCTTGCCCTTGCATGGTCTGTGATCTACAGTGTGTTCCTGCCTGTGTTCAACTCGGTTTGGCTGACTTTTCTTCCAGTTCCTGTTCCTAATTCTTGGCTCCTTACTACCCTGGCTTCTATTTTGACTACTTTCTTGATCTATATTATATTTGCTATTTCATTAGAGGTTGATTTTAACTTCACTTTCTGTCTCCTCTTGGTTTATGGTTTCTGACAGTACAACCCAAGTCTAAGTTGAAGGACCACCTTAAAGTTGATTCTCCCTGAAAGCAGTCCCTGCCTTGTTCCAGGGCAGTGATGAGCACAACACAGCAAAGGTACTCAATGTGCATGGCAAGTGACCCCCTCCACCCTGCCTAGCGTGGCTCAGAAGAACCCACTCTGCGGTAGGCCCCTTTTGTCACCCTACAATTTGACTCTCAACAAGATGGACATGGAAGAAAGCCCACCTACCCTTCAGGCGGACAAACATATGACTGGTGTGAATCCCCCCCCTGCCAAGTGCCCTCATAGTAGCAACGTGCTACTTTAATTTTCATCTTGCCGTGCACCCCTTTCCCTGATTTTTCTTTGAATGCTACATTGTGAGCAGTGTCATATGTTTCCACAGAGCCAAAGGAATTTCTTGGATAGTTTGGTGATAAATTGGGGGGCTGTTGTAGGGATGGTAAGTAAAATCTGCCTAAAATTCCTTTTGCAAACCCTTTAGGGGTAAAGAACAGGTTCACTTTAAAGCATATCCAAAAACAAACATTTCATATATTTTAGCCACCAGTCTTGGCTGCATTAGTTTTAACTTTTCAGGCTGAGAACATATACAGAAAGTACAGCAAATAGCTGAACACACAGCATACATACAATGCACACAATGTCCTTGTCACTTCCTGTGAGCTGAAAATAAAGCATAATTACCCATTTTTAAAAATAGTATAAACTACCACCATATAATGGAGATGAACAAGGGCAGATACAGTATGTTTGATGTCCAGCCTGTTTGACAACCATGGCTCCCTTCATAGATACATTGAATAAATGCCTGTAGACCCAAAAAGACAGAAAGTGTGTTAATCAGAAGATTACCAGGTGAAAATAAAATAAAAATAAGCTTAAAAAAAAAATGAATGCAGCCGCCACATCTAAGGACTTGTAATATCATGTAACATATGCAGTGTGTTGTTTGTCTTTAAATAAAGTTGTCCCTTCTTCCCTCTGTAGCTAGGAGATGCTATGTATAGCTAGTTCCATCCTCAATGCAGTGTGTTCAGTAGTTTTTGTTAAGAGCACATGTAATTGCTGGAGCTAGACATACTATGATTTTTTCTTTTTTACGTATCTGATTTTCATTTGTGAAGATCTGCACAAGTTTTTGAATAAAGCTTTCTGCAATCTGCAAGATGTCATTTGGTTTGAGTTAATGTCTGCCAATTCTTTTGAGACTGTAAGTTACAGCTATATTGTCACAACTGGCTCAGTTATAGAGATCACACATCAGTGCCTAGACTGAAGAAGCAGACCAGGTAAGCTGCAACATATTACATTTTTGTTTTTGGGTGTAGATTCACTTTAAGTAACAAAAAACAACAACAACAACAAAATAAAAACACAAATATGCAACATAATTTAGCATATGAAGATCAACTGGATATTATACACAGCTGGGCTGATGGCTGTAAACACCACAAAACATCTCCATCAATAACCCGAGAGGCAGACTAGTTTCCCTGGCAAGCTGAAGCGCTCTGGCATGTGGGCAACTTTATAAAAGTACTGATTGCTGACCAGCTGGTAGATTTATGTTTCAATAAGAAAACCAAAATCGCTGCCTGTTCCCCAACTCAGATGTGAGTCTAATCAGGTCTGACAATAGCAGCCAATTACTAGAGGGAGCTGCCTGGCAGAAACAGGGGTGGAGCTAGAGATGATGCGAAATGGCATAGTGACACAGATCTCACATTGCTTGTCCTTAGCTAAGAAAACTGCCTGCAGGACACAAAAAAATATTACGTTGGCTTTGTGTGCCATGAACATTTTCCTAATGTGCATTCAAACCTATAATTAATTTAAAAACATTTACTTTTTATGAGGTGCAATATAGTAGTGTAATCAGCAAAGAAGATACTGATATATTTGCTAGCAACCAAAGCAGAAATAGGCAAATGTATTCTAACTAAAAATGAAACAACAGCATCAATAATAATTATCAGAATAACTGTTAATGTTTGTCTACTCATTTGATACTTTAGCATCTTTGTTTGGTCAGACTTTCTAAAGAAATGCTTGACACATTTTTAAGTTATAATGTAATTTATATTAATCGTGGACATATTTTTTCATAAAAAATTACAGTAATTAACATCAAAAAGATAGAGACATCTGTCTGAGTACAAGATACTGATTGTCCTAGTCTGCTAAGTTCTCCATTAAGAGGAATGTTTCAAGTGACAGTCAGCCAGTAGGCAAATAAAGGCAAACATTCCAGAAAACCAGGGACAGGTCTGTCTATATAAATTATTATTATTTATTTCAGGTACTTATATAGCTCTGTCAATTTACACAGCACTTTACACATATATATATTGAACATTCACATCAGTCCCTAACCCTCAAGGGGTGTACAATCTAAGGTCCCTAACTTACATTCATACATACACATATTAGGGCCAATTTAGACAGGATCCAATTAACCTACTAGCATGTCTTTGGAGTGTGGGAGGAAACCGATGCAGGCACAGGGAGAACATGCAAACTTAATGCAGGAGGCGCCATGGTCAGGAATCAAACCCATGACCCATTTACTGAAAGGCAGACGTGCTAACTAGAGATGAGCGAATTATTCAAAAATTCGGGTCGGCTGATTCGCCGAATTCGCCGAATAAATTCGCTTCGAGCCGAATATATTCGCTGCAAATTTAACTTATAAAAAGGGTGTTTCTAGGCTTCAGAGAGCCTTTATATTAGTGCAGAACACTGTACCTTTAATTTAAATGCCCTTGGAGTCTGCTGAGGAAGAGAAATAATACTGTCAGTCAGTATGACATGCAGATGAGTGCCGTCGATCTTAGAATCACTGCACACTTCACTCATTTGGGCAGTCACGGGGCCAAAACCAGAGTGTGGAGCCACAGTGTGGCGGTGGAGGCAGCAGCAATGGGAGGCCATACAGCACCCTATGACAAAATGGAACCCACCAGCAGTGTGAGGAGACCTGAAAGTGGCACATGGCAGAGTGTGGTGATGGAGACAGCAGCAATGGGAGGCCGTACAGGGACCCATGACACACTCTGGACCTGGCAGCAGCATGTGGAGGCGGTACAGGGGCCCATGACAGATTACGGGCCTGGCAGCAGCATGAGGAGTCGGTACGGGGGCCCATGGCAGATTACGGGCCTGGCAGCAGCATGAGGAGGCGGTACAGGGGCCCATGGCAGAGTGGCAGAGCGTAAGCAGCTAAAATTGAAGGCCATACAGAGGCCTATGTTAAAAAGTCCCCCCAGCAGCAGCGTGGGGAGACGACTATCAAGAGTCCAATGGCAGAGTGGCGGAGCAGAAGCAGCTTCAATTGAAGGCCATACACAGGCCTAGGTTTAAAAGTCCCTCACAGTTAATTCCAATAACGAACTCTACTCCTCCGTGCAATCTACTTACGAGACCCTGGGCAGGTCTGGGTCCAATTTGTGGTAGAGACTGGTTTTGTTCAGCCATGCTTGAGCGAGTAATAACAGGTCTGTGCTGCCCTTTGGTGTCTGGCTTAATGCGCACAACACTGAACGTCCCAGCGTTTGTCAACGATTTGCCGTTAAGTGATGCAAACCCGCTGAACCACGTTCATGAGGAGTCGGTACAGGGGGCCATGAATCAGTATGGACTTGGCAGCAGCGTGAGCAGACGACAGAGGCACATGGCGCAGGGTGGCGGTGTAGGCAGCATTATTCTGAAGCCATACACAGGCCTAGGTTAAAAAGCGGAAGCCGTCAGCAGCGTGAGCAGACGACAGAGACACATGGCGCAGGGTGGCGGTGGATGCAGCAGTATTCAGAAGCCAAACACAGGCCTCGGTTAAAAAGCAGAAGCCGTCAGCAGCGTGAGCAGACGACAGAGGCACATGGCGCAGGGTGGCGGTGGAGGCAGCAGCAATGGAAGGCCATACAGCACCCTATGACAAAATGGAACCCACCAACAGTGTAAGGAGACCTGAAAGTGGCACATGGCAGAGTCTGGTGATGAAGTCAGCAGCAATGGGAGGCCGTACAGGGACCCATGACACACTCTGGACCTGGCAGCAGCAAGAGGAGGCAGTACAGGGGCCCATGGCAGAGTGGCGAAGCGTAAGCAGCTTAAATTGAAGGCCATACAGAGGCCTATGTTAAAAAGTCCCCCCAGCAGCAGTGTGGGGAGACGACTATCAAGAGTCCAATGGCAGAGTGGCGGAGCAGAAGCAGCTTCAATTGAAGGCCATACACAGGCCTAGGTTAAAAAGTCCCCCCCCAGCAGCAGCATGGGGAGACGACTATCAAGAGTCCAATGGCAGAGTGGCGGAGCGGAAGCAGCTTCAATTGAAGGCCATACACAGGCCTAGGTTAAAAAGTCCCCCCAGCAGCAGTGTGGGGAGACGACTATCAAGAGTCCAATGGCTGAGTGGCGATCCGGGAAGTCAGCGTTGTGATTGCAGATGCAATGCAGAAATTCTACGAAGTAATGCCGTGGGTGCGAAGAAGATCATATACCGTCGTACTTCCATCCATAAGACGGAACAACCTGCGAACCGGGAGCTTTATTGCCCTGACCCGCTGAGCAGCTTCTGGGATACCCAAGAGGCCCATGGCAGAGTGGCGGAGCGTAAGCAGCTTCAATTAAAGGCCACATGTCATGAATGCATTATGGGTCAGCGCGCCTTGTCTGCGCGCCTTCCCAGAGATCCCCGCCCCATCTTCTCTGTCCATTTTCTCCGTCGCCACACATGTCGCCGCCATTTTTGGGAAAATTCGATTCGTGCATCCGAAGTTTGCTAATCTTCGGATTCGTCGCGAATAGAATTTTTCCAAATCTTCGGAACGAATTCCACTTCGTCATGTTCGATTCGCTCATCTCTAGTGCTAACCACTAAGCCACTGTGCCACCCCAATAAATAACAAACAGTGAAGATCACACAATTCACAATTGTTGTTTCACAATGTGGTATTTATGTGTGATGCCAAACCATTGCAAAGAATGGTTCACTTGGCAAAGGGCTTGGGTGAACATTTGAGTGGCAGAGTACTGGCACCATTCTAAAACCCTCTATATCATCTGTAGGAGTGAACTTAATCTGAAGTACAACCCTGGAGTGTTAGGTCTTTAAGTGATTCTAAAGGCTTATTGTCTTTTAATAAAAAAGAACAAACATGTCTATACTTACCTGGTGTGTGCAGTGGTTTTGCACAGAGCAGTCCAGATCCTCCTCTTCTTGGGACCCTCACAGGCTCTCCTCGCCCTCCCTCCTGTTGGGTGCCCCCACAGCAAGCAGCTTGTTATGGAGCCACCCGCTGCTCCATGTATCCATTCTCACACAAAGCTGTGGCTCGCTGTGTCACCTCTCTCTTCTCATTGGCTCACTGGCTGTGATTGACAGCTAATGAGGAGGGGGAGTCCTGGGATAGCCGAGATTCCAGTGCACATTGCTGGATCGAGAGGGGGCTTAGGTTTTTGAGTTTTATGAAGGGATGGGGGGGGATGCTGCACACATGCTGCATAGAATACATGAAGGTAAAAAACCTTCAGCCTTTAGAACCACTTTAACCAAAGCTGCTGTTGCATCACTAATACCTGGGGACACAACTCACAGAAGGTACAGGGGTGACAGCAAAGTTTCACCAGAATCTAGTTTTTAAACAGGTATCAGAAATTTTTTTTTTTAAATACATTAGAGGATAAGTTCACCTTTTGTGAAAAAAAAGTGTGCATCTTTTTTGCAGGTAAAACAATTTGTATTTATTATTTTTTTACACTGTAGCCTTTAAAACATTGCACATGTGATCAGCAGATTGTGGGTGCAATGCCAAGATCATGCAGACTCTTATTAAGCTGTCTGCCTGTACCTACCATATGGGCAGGCAGTTACTGAATGGCATTCAGAATCATGTTCATTGTTAGGTTCATTGAGAACGATAAGCAGTCAACGGCTGACTGTACTTGTAGTCTAATTCATTCAAGAGAAACTGCGCTGTTTTTATATTGTGACAGTAGGTGCAGGGAGCAGATCCCCTGCCCGCTGTCATATCACAGGGGTGTTGGCAGCGGGAGGTGGAGCATAGGTGCATATTGCACCTTAAATATGGGCGCAACATGTACCTCTCTACTAAAGGTGAATTTAGCCTTTAAGTTCCTATAGGTAATGAAAGCCAGTGTAGACAACATACCAGAGGAACTGAAACTGTTGATCAGGCATACTGCATAGGGCCTACAGCTCTGACCTAATTTTTAAGAATACTAATAAGGTCAAAGGAAGAAGCAGTGCAGGAGAAGGTCCAGAGAATCAGGTGTGGACTAGTAGCAGGGTCCTGCTGCAGTGCAGGAGAAGGTAATAATGAGAAGGACAAGATCCAGCAACTCTAGGTTTAAAAACTATACTAGAGGAGAAAAGAAAGAATTCGCTGTCTAACATATTTTGAGCTTGATGCAGTTGGTTACAGATTTTTACAAGTAATTAGAGCCAAATTAAACTTTCAATTTAAATCAGCAAAATGTATTCCAGATGCAAAATAAACAGTGTAAAAAGTCTAAGGCCTGGTTCACACCTATGCATTTTTTTGTGCTTTTTTGCGTTTTGCAAAAATTTACTACAGTCCACTTAACATGGTTTCCTATGGGATACATTCACATCTATGCGTTTTCAGCTGCTATATTTTTGAAAAGGGTCAGGGACATTTTTTTCCAGCAGTAGATCACAACACACATAGATGTGAACCAGGCCTTACTGTTTTTGCAGGGTTTTTTGGAAAGCAGCCAGAAACTGTCCACCCTTGTTTTCTGTGTGGACCAGGTGGCTTCTCTGTAGTAGTTTGAAAAGCTGGAGCTCTTCAATCAAATAAATGCATGTCCTATGCTCAATGAAGCAGTTCTGACCAAGAGGACCTACATGGCCTCAAAATATGCACTGGCGATTGCTGTTTTTGTAATGAAAGTGCTATATTTTACATGGAGTGCTGGCTATACTGTATCTTGTAGTTGTAGCTGTAGCCAAAGGCCATGAGGTGAGAGAGGTGTGTGTGGGATTGACTCCTCACTTAAAAATCTCAAAGAAAGCCATCACTCAGGCAGAACTACCAGTTCCCCTCACTGCAGTCACCAGGTGCTGGTCCAAGAAACCTATCCCCACTCCACATGTACACTACAAACAGGACCTCACTCCAATAATGCCACTTGCTAGAATTGAACTAGTGTTTAACCACTTGAAGACCGGCATGTTAAACCTTCCTTCTTAACCAGGCCATTTTGCAGCATTGTCACACTTTTAATGAGAATTACCCAGTCATGCAAGACTGTACCTCAATTAATTTTATTTCATTTTTTTCTTAGGCAAATAGAGCTTTTTTTTGGTGGTATTTGATCACTACTGGGTTTTTTTAAGTCTCATTATGTAGAGGGAAAAAGACTGAAAATTTAGAAAATGAAAGTTTTCTTAGCCTCTGTTATAAAACTGCAAAAAAAAAAAATCTTTTTTCATAAATGTGTGACAATGTGTTCTTCTATATTGCCTTGGTGAAAAAATAGAAGCATATTATTTCATCTGCACGAAATTCTACAAACCATGGTATACTGTATATAGCAGTGATGGCGAACCTTTTTGAGCCCGAGTGCCCAAACTGCAACCCAAAACCAACTTATTTCTTTCAAAGTGCCAACACTGCAATGAAACCTGAATATCGAGCTTTTGGTTTAGAAAAAACAACTCGTACAGTAGTGCAAACTAATTAACAGTACAGGGATGACCAGAGACTGCGGACACAGTACAGGGATGACCAGAGACTGCGGACACAGTACAGGGATGGCCAGAGACTGCGGACACAGTACAGGAGATGACCAGAGACTGTGGACACAGTACAGGAGATGACCAGAGACTGCGGACAGTACAGGGATGACCAGAGACTGTGGACAGTACAGGGATGACCAGAGACTGCGGACACAGTACAGGGATGACCAGAGACTGCAGACACGGTACAGGGATGACCAGAGACTGCAGACACAGTACAGGGATGACCAGAGACTGCAGACACAGTACAGGGATGACCAGAGACTGCGGACACAGTACAGGAGATGACCAGAGACTGCGGACACAGTACAGGGATGACCAGAGACTGCGGACACAGTACAGGGATGACCAGAGACTGCGGACAGTACAGGAGATGACCAGAGACTGCGGACACAGTACAGGAGATGACCAGAGACTGCGGACACAGTACAGGAGATGACCAGAGACTGCGGACACAGTACAGGGATGACCAGAGACTGCGAACAGTACAGGAGATGACCAGAGACTGCGGACAGTACAGGACCAGAGATGCGGACCAGAGACCAGCGGACACAGTACAGGAGATGACCAGAGACTGCGGACACAGTACAGGAGATGACCAGAGACTGCGGACACAGTACAGGAGATGACCAGAGACTGCGGATTGTCAAGACCGGCGGACACAGTACAGGGATGACCAGAGACTGCGAACAGTACAGGAGATGACCAGAGACTGCGGACAGTACAGGAGATGACCAGAGACTGCGGACAGTACAGGGATGACCAGAGACTGCGGACACAGTACAGGGATGACCAGAGACTGCGGACAGTACAGGAGATGACCAGAGACTGCGGACACAGTACAGGAGATGACCAGAGACTGCGGACACAGTACAGGGATGACCAGAGACTGCGGAAAGTACAGGAGATGACCAGAGACTGCGGAAAGTACAGGAGATGACCAGAGACTGCGGACAGTACAGGGATGACCAGAGACTGCGGACAGTACAGGGATGACCAGTGACTGCGGACAGTACAGGGATGACCAGAGACTGCGGACAGTACAGGGATGACCAGAGACTGCGGACACAGTACAGGGATGACCAGAGACTGCGGACAGTACAGGAGACAGGGACCAGAGACTGCGGACAGTACAGGGATGACCAGAGACTGCGGACAGTACAGGGATGACCAGTGACTGCGGACAGTACAGGGATGACCAGAGACTGCGGACAGTACAGGGATGACCAGAGACTGCGGACACAGTACAGGGGGATGCGGACCAGAGACTGCGGACAGTACAGGGATGACCAGAGACTGCGGACAGTACAGGGATGACCAGAGACTGCAGACACAGTACAGGGATGACCAGAGACTGCGGACACAGTACAGGGATGACCAGAGACTGCGGACACAGTACAGGAGATGACCAGAGACTGCGGACACAGTACAGGGATGACCAGAGACTGCGGACACAGTACAGGAGGTGACCAGAGACTGCGGACAGCACAGGGATGACCAGAGACTGCGGACA